TTTTAACATTTATTTCCAGATGGATTTCATCTTGTTATTTGGCATGGCACAAAGTAAAACTGTTGCTCTTTGAGATTTATTAATTAGAGTGTTCCTAAGCCAGATATGGAATCCATTGTTTTTTCAGATAAAAAAATAAACCTACTCAGATATTAAAATAACCCCAAAGTGGAGAAAATACAGGGTGGGGCAAATGTTGGTTTAGAGTTGTGATTACTCAAAACAGTTTATTTTTGTTTTATTTATTAATTGTATTATTTTTCATACAAACAACTGTAAATCTACTTTTGCCTCACCCTATTTTGAAAGCCTGAATCTGGGTTTCTTTCTCTTTTTTTAGTTACAGTTTGCAATTATTCTGTATTAGCTTGAGGTGTACAACACAGTGGTTAGACTATCATGTACTATACAGAGTAAGTCCCCCCATATTTCAAGTACCCACCTGGCCCCATATGTAGAGAATTTTTTTTATCTGTATTTCTCCATAAAAAAATATTGGATTAAGTAATAATTTTTTGTAGAGTTCTTCCTAGGAAAAATTTGCTGTCTTAACACACTCTTAAAATTAAGTTAGTGAAACCTGAAGCCATAACTGACAGAAAACCAAATACTATAGATTTTGTACTTTAAAACTGGAATTCTTTGTTTACTTATTTATTCATTTATTTTTCTAAAGGAGATTATCAGAGATAACCTCTTTTTTAAAATCCTCACCTGAGGCCAAAACTGGTTTCTATCTCTCTCCCTTCCTCTCTGTAAAAAATCAATAAAATATATTAAAAAAAAATCCTCACCGGGGGATTTAAAAAATATATTTTTTTATTGATTTCAGAGAGGAAGGGAGAGGAAGAGATAGGAACATCAATGATGAGAGAGAATAATTGGTTGGCTGCCTCCTGCAGGCTTTCTCCTGGGGATCGAGTCTGCAAACAGGGCATGTGCCCTTGACTGGAATTGAACCTGGGACCTGTCAGTCCACAGGCTGATGCTCTATCCATTGAGCCAAACCAGCTAGGGCCCGAGGATTTTTTTTAAAAACTAAAAAAAATTGATTTGAGAGAGAAAGGGAGAGGGAGAAGGAGAAAGAGCGAAAGAGAAACATTGATCAGTTGCCTCCCGACCGGGGATGGAACCTGTAACCTGGGTATGTGCTCTGACTGGGAGTCAAACCCAACACCTTTTGGTGTACGGGAAGGTGCTCCAATCAACCGAGCCACCTGGCCAGGGAATATTTATTTTTAATTATTGGGCTCAGAATATGTGTATTTTAAGTTTATAGGCTTCCTTATTAAAGGAATGAAATACATGTATATCTGGTTTGCAGTCTATCTTATTCCATTCACACAGCAATTTGTAATAAAAACGGAGCAGTCTGCCCTAACTGGTTTGGCTCAGTGGATAGAGTGTCGGCCTGCGGACTGAAGGGTCCTGGGTTCGATTCCAGTAAAGGGCATGTACCTTGGTTGCGGGCACATCCCCAGTAGGGGGTGTGCAGGAGGCAGCTGATTGATGTTTCTCTCTCATCAATGTTTCTAACTCTCTGTCCCTCTCCTTCCTCTCTGTGAAAAATCAATAAAACATATTTTTTAAAAAAACACACAAAAAAAACGGAGCAGTCTGCCTTATCTGTAGCATTTTGGTTTTACAAAGTTCCTTTTCTTCCTGTCAGCTCTGGGAACCAGGAACCGACTCTGGTTGCTTCTTAAGTGTTTCCGTGTTCCTCCTGTTTTCTGATGAAATGTCACAGCAGTGCCTGGGCTTCGAAAGCTCAGTCCCCAGGGGGCGGTGTGCAGACTCATTTAGTTGGAGAAGCTAATATACTGTATATCCTTTTGTCTTTAAAAAAAACTGAAATAGAACATTTTATCATTGGCTCAGAATGTTCAGCTTCACTTACGTCTAGAGAAATGTCAGACAGCCATTGTTGTTCTTTGGTTATTCTTTTAGAGCAAACTAGGTTAAAGTAAACAGTAAAATTTTATTATTATTATTTTTAAATATATGTTTTATTGATCTTTTTTTACAGAGAGGAGGGGAGAGGGATAGAGTTAGAAACATCGATGAGAGAGAATCATCGATCAGCTGCCTCCTGCACAACTCCTACTGGGGATGTGCCTGCAACCAAGGTAACTGCCCTTGACCCTAATTGAACCTGGGCCCCTTCAGTCCGCAGGCCGCCGCTCTATCCACTGAGCCAAACCGGTCAGGGCAACAGTAAAATTTTAAAGGAAGCATTTAGAGAACAGTACTTTTAAAGACTACATTTTAGGTCATCGGTTCTTTTATTTTGTGTTGACTTTTAGTCCCCTGTTATTTTCATGCTTTGTCTTTCAGTCCTTGAAATACTGCCACGTTAAGTTTGCTGTTATTTCTATCATATCTTTAGGTTTAGAAGGGCAATGCCCAAATTGATTTTTTTCTTTAAAAAAAAAAAAGTTTTCTTGAATTGATTCTTTGGCTGTTGGTACCACAAACTATTTTTTTTATTTGTGTTACGCTTCTTAATTTGTGCAGTTATTCAGTGTCTGGTAAATTAATATTCAAGAAAAATATTAATATTCATTAAATTCTATTATTTTATGTTAACGATGACTCATTTATTTCAGCTCTTTGAATTCAGCATGTCTCTATCAAAAATAAACCTACGTTCCTATGAAAATTGAAGCCTTTGTGTTTTTGCGGCCCACATAAACTTAAACCTTGTTTATTTGGCCCTTGTTAACCTTTTAGTTTGACATGCTTGGTTTAGAGATTTAGTAGTTATTAAAGATGAACACAATTTAGTACCTTTGAACATTATCCTATCTAATAAAAGAGAAACATGGTAATTGGTGTATGACCGCTACCCTTCCCATTGGCTAATCAGCGAGATATGCAAATTAACTGCCAGCCAAGATGGCGGCCGGCAGCCAGGCAGCTTGAAACTAACATGAGGCTTACTTGCCTCAGTGACGGAGGAAACCAAGATTCCCTGCCTGTGGCTGCAGGCCTCTGAGCCTGCAGTTTAAGAAACTATGTAACAAATACCGCTGGACTTCTGCCAGCAGGATCGCAACATTGTATGCAAAGGCCAGAAACCTACTTTCAGCAGCGGAGGCCTAAGAGCTGGAGCCAAGCCTCAAGCTAAAGCTGGCCCAGAATTAAAAGAAAAAAAGGAGCGGTTGGGAGCTTCAGTCACCCCCAGCCTGAAAACAGCCCTCAGCCCCTCACCCAGACTGGCCAGGCACCCCAGTGGGGAGCCCCACCCTGATCCAGGACACCCTTCATGGCAAACCAGCTGGCACCCACCCGTGTACCAGGCCTCTACCCTATATAGTAAAAGGGTAATATGCCTCCCAGCACCGGGATCAGCGGAGCCGCGAGGCCTCCCGGCACCGGGATCAATGTGACGGGGCAGCGCTCATACCCCCTGATCGCCCTGCGGCTCTGTTTGTAACGGGGCGGGGCCACAACCTCCCTATCCACCCTGCTCTGTTTGTGACAGGGGAAGGCGCCCCAACCTCCTGATCAGCCCTGCTACAATTGCTTTTCTGGGAACATTTCCCTCCCTCTTCAGGAGGGGACTTTAAAAAGGGAATGTTCTGTGACTTAATTAAGCTATTAGAGTCACAACAGGTCGTGACATACTTCTCCCCATCGGCCCTGCCCTGAGTGTGACAGGGTGTGGCCCCCCAACCCTCTGATCCGCCCTGCTCTGTGTGTGACAGGGGTCAGTGCCCCAACTCCCCTATCGGCCCTACTCTCTGAGTGACGGGGGGGAGCTCCTCAACCCCCTGATGGGCCCTGCTCTTTGCATGACAGGGGTTGGCGCCGCAACCTCCCCATCGACCCTGCTTTGAGTGTGACAGGGGGCAGTGCCCCAACCCCCCAATCGGCCCTACCCTGAGCATGACTGAGGGTGGCATCGCAACCTCCCAATCCGCCCTGCTCTGTGCATGACAGGGGACAGCGCCCCAACTCCCCAATCGGCCCTGCTCTGAGCCCGACCAGGGGCTGCACCTAAGGATTGGGCTTGCCCTCTGCCACCCGGGAGCGGGCCTAAGCCAGCAGGTCGTTATCTCCCGAGGGGTCCCAGACTGCGAGAGGGCACAGGCCGGGCTGAGGGACTCCCCTCCCCCCCGAGTGCACAAATTTTTGTGCACCGGGCCTCTAGTCTGTATATAAAAGCCTAATATGCAAAGTGTCCCCTCGGGAGTTCAACCCATCGGGAGTTCGATCGCTCACAATGATGGGTGATGACCACCAGTGGGCGGCGCAGAATGAAGGCCCCAGCCAGCAGTTGGGGAAGGGAGGCCCCAGCGGACAGCTGGCAGCTGCTAGGGACCCTACCCATGCATGAATTTCATGCACTGGGCCTCTAGTTGCAAATAAAAGATTGGGGTTAAAAAGAATGTAAAGTAAGTAACTTCTTGCTGCTGGGCACATATTAGCAGACTTAGATTTGTGCCTTTGGGGCATTTTTAGGTTTTATTCACAAAGTAGGGCATGTTGTCATTTTCGGTACCTGCTGTTGAACCAAAAAGGTGATGCTGAAGAGGGTCGTTTCTTATTTGTGTGCATAGACGTGTGAGCAGCCTTCTCCCTTATCGATCTATTTAGGGAATCTTTTGAAAAATCACTCCTGAAACTTTTTTAGAAAAATAACATAAATCAAATTTCTCCAGAAATGAAGTTGTGGGATAATGTCCTGACTTTAAACTGTCTTGTCAAATTTTTGCTATCTGGCCCTTCAGGTTGTGAGAAGACATAGTAGCTTTGTTAGATTGTTCTGTTGTCTGCTGAAGAACAATGGCAAGGACAAGAAATGCCATTGACTGGTGCAAGGGTGGAGATGGCTGCTCGGCCAGGGCCACAAAGAAGCCTCCCACATCATGGCTCCGATGGTCAGGCAGTCAGAGGTCCTCACGCTGCAGATGTGTTTGTCAGGCCGGTGTGCTCACTGTGAAATGCTGTTGCACATTGATTCAGAAACAATACTTTCTTTCGTTTTTCTTCTGTAGGAACCTAGAAAGATTGTGCAATGAATGGTGATACTCAGGCTGCAGTGGTGACCTCACCACCCCCGACCACAGCCCCTCACAAAGAGAGGTACTTCGACAGGGTGGATGAGAATAATCCAGAATACCTGCGAGAGAGGAACATGGCACCTGACCTTCGCCAGGACTTCAACATGATGGAGCAGAAGAAGAGAGTGTCCATGATTCTGCAGAGTCCGGTAAGAGCAGCTGCTTCTCCAAGTATCTTCTTCCTCTCCAGTGCTGCCCTTCTGGCGCGGTTGTGTGTGTCATAGTCAGGTTGTCTTAACACAGGAAATCGGCGCCTCCGTATATGTATTGTTGTTAAGAGAACTCCGTTTAGTTCAAGTTATCAGACAACAGGGGAAAATCTTCAGTGTCATAAAGGGTAGCAGGTGTTTATTTGTCCTTTTTACTCTCACTGCTTCTCAGTCTTTATTTATGGCACCTTTTAAAAATTACTGTTTCCTCCACAATACCTAGCTGGGGGCCGGGCCCATGGTAGGCCTCGGCAGTGCCTGATTTACTGATTGATGAGCTTTTGAACGACAGTCACCCCAACAAAATGTCCTCTGTTTGCATCTCTAGGTAGAGGAGCTGTCTTTATCTTCCCTCTTGGGGACGCTGCTGCTCTGTGGACCGCATTCTGCTCCCCTGTTCTTACTTTACTATCTTCATGTTGTGGGATACCATTGGCAGATAGTCATTGACTTTTATTAATGTTTATTATCTCTTATGTGCTGTTCAAGGAATTAGCCTCTAACTTGATTTATTTGTTTGGTTGTTGTTATTCACATATTACTAAGGTGTAATGTAAAGTACACAGGCCTTAAGTCCGGCTTGATGAGTTTTGACATATATGTAACACCTGTGTAAGCACCTGGATGAAGCCTCAAACTTTGCATTCTAGTTGGAGATATGCAGTAAGGAACCAACAGAACAGTTGGATGACTAGGTTGTGTATGACTTGGTTAGGACAGGCCTTTTTTTTCTTTTTAAAAAATCTTTATTGTTGAGAGTATTACAGATGTCCCCCCTTTTACCCACCCTCCCCAGGATCCCCCTCCACCTGGTTCCGTCCTGCCCCAGGCCTTTACCGCCCTATTGTCTGTGTCTGTAGGTAATGCATGTAATCCCTCCTCGTCCCCTCCCTGCTTCCCTCTGAGAGTCGTCAGTCTGTTCCATGTTGCCATGCCTCTGGCTGGTTCTATTTTATTCAGTTTATTTTGTTCATTGGATTCCTTGTTCATTTATTTTGATATTTAGGTTCAGTTGTTGACAGATATTTATTGCCATTTTATTGTTCATACTTTTTATCTTTTTCCTTCCTCTTCCTCCTCCTCTTCCTCTTCCTCTTAAGGCCTGTCTGAGGGAGGAAGATGAATCTGACTCGGAGAGGAGAAGGAGCTGGCTGCTGTGCGGGGGCATGGGGAGGACCATTCCAGGTTGAGGGAGGGGCAGACGTGCATTCCCAGGACCTGGGCAAGCTTGGTGGGCTCCAGTGTGTGTGAGCTTAGGGGGGACAGGGTGGGAGAGGGAGGAGGGAGCAGGTCCTGGAAGGCTGGGGAAGCTCAGGTCAGGGGCTCATTTTGCACTCAGAGCACAGCCGTTACTGAAGGGCTGCAGACAGGAAAGAACGCGATTCAGTTCTACAAAACTCAGTCTGCTTTTGGGGTAGAGAAGGGAGCATCCTTTGGGGCAAGGGAGAAAGCCATCTTCCAGGCAAGAGGTGACGGTGACTTGGGTCAGGGCGCTGCTGTAGAGGTGGAGAGGGTAGGCTCATCTGAGTCTTATTTTGAATGAGGGATAAATAAGAGGAAGATATGAGAAGAAAAAAAGAATCAGTTTAACATCTAGACTTTTGGCTTGAACAGTTTTCCTACATAAAAGCAACAAATCACTAGGGATAGAGTGGAGAAAATAAACTTCCAGCACCTTGCATGTCAGGCACTGTGCAGACAGCCAAGTCCCTTTACAGTCCCGTCTAAGCGCAGCATGGGGTCCTGGAGCAGGGAGAGGACTAGTGCAGAGTGTAGTGTGTGTAGCACATGTTGTAGTGTATGTGAATTGAGCTTCCCTTAGAGCTGTATGTGGATTTGAAAACCATGGAAATAGATTGGTTTTTCAGATTGAGGGCCCATGAGGGCAGGGAGCTGTTGAACTCAGCTTTTGCGTACCCTGTGCCCAGCACACTCGGTGAGGTTTAGTAAGGCATCTGTGTCTTTCTTTACCTGCAGCTGTGCATGTCTATCTGTATCCTTGCAATCTGCATTGCCATCAAAGGTGGCCCCAGAACCGTGTGTCAGTGATACATTTTTCCTTGCAGTCCAAGGCCCTGCCAGCTTTTCCCTCCTCGACTACCACAGAGTATGATGGATGGCATTAGGTAGCATGGTGTGGTAGGCAGGGGCTCCTGGCTCTTGGCATTCTTTTATGCCATTGAATTAATGCCACTGCATTTGCTTTGTTTGCTTCCCTCAAGTGACAGGTGTACTTAGTCTGTCCCTTCGCAACCTATCTTTTCAGCTCAAGCAGTGAGAGACTAGAAGTAAGGTTAACATAGAACCAGCCATACAGCAGCCCTTGGAGTGCTTATGCTCTGGTCTGGATATTCAGTGAACTCACACTTTCACATTAAATATTATTTATAATTATTTGACAATATTTATTTCTTTATAGGATATGTGAAAATTATTTCAATAATTTTTGAGGAAATTATAAATTATGTGTATTTCAGTAGTGATTTCATGTTAAAATTTCCATCAACCCAACTTATTAACCTTTCTGCCTAATTTAGGATTATTTTATGAAGGATAAATATTTTAGGGTTTCTTTTTTAACTTTAAAGTAATTTAAAAACTGTATTATGAAGAAAATACTGAGAAGCGTAAAGTAGAACATGAAAATTACTAGTGATTCTTTCACAGGATTACAGTGAGCATTCTGATGTATTACTTTTAGTCTTTCTACGTTTCCATATGCATCTGCTCTTAAACGAACTGGTTGTGTTGCTTTATAACCTTTTAACTCAAATATATATCAAGAGTACATTTATGCCATTTACTTGGTCTTTCATGTTGAAAGTGCATAGCGTTCCATTGTCAGGTGCAGCGGTTGCCAACTGTGGTCCGTGAGGTCCGAAAGGTTGGCGACTGCTTGTGAGGTGGGTCCATGCATCTCATTAGTCTTCTGCACGTTCACCTGTGGACACACCTGTTTTGCCTTCTGTCAGTACTGCTGCGGTGAACATCCTTACAGATAAACCTTGAGCACATCCCTAGGTTTTCCTTAGAAAGGACTCCTAGGAAGAGGATGCCTGCCCGAATGTTTAAGCTTTTATATTGTTAAATTCCTTCCAGAAAGAATGTACCAATTTGTGCTTCAAGTAGTTACATATGAGAGTGTCCACCCACCTCCCTAGGACTGGATGAAAACAAACAGCAACTCAGTCTGCGTGAAAGTTACCCTTGCCTTGTCCAGAAACACAAAGGAAGTGGTGTCTCACTGTTGGAATTTACCGTTTCCTAGGCTTTCTGTGAAGAGTTGGAATCAATGATACAGGAACAGTTTAAGAAGGGGAAAAACCCCACCGGCCTGCTGGCATTACAGCAGATTGCAGACTTTATGACCACGAACGCTCCGAGTGTCTACCCGGCGGCCCCCCAAGGAGGAATGGCTGCCTTGAACATGAGTGAGTACCTCCTGACTGTACGTGCTGTCATTTCCCAGGAAAAAGTTCCTGAAATACATGTAATATATAGAATCGAGTTTTTTGAAAATTAATGTGTTTTAGTAAAAAATAGGCTGTAAGCCTGAAAATGTCTTGAATGTAGAGGGCTCCCTCTTTTAGGAGCCAGTGAGACTTATTTTTCAGGCAGATGACTTTTATATATACATAGATTGATAGATAGATTTCAGAGAGGAAGGGAGAGGGAGAGAGATAGAAACATCAATGATGAGAGAGAATCATTGATTGACTGTCTCTTGTACGCCCCCTACGGGGGATCGAGCCTGCAACTTGGGCATGTGCCCTGACCGGGAATCGAACAGTAACCTCCTGGTTCATAGGTCGACACTTAACCAGTGAGCCACACCAGCTGGGCCACATGACTTTTTATGTGGCTTTTCAGATCCTGTGTGAATTAAACTGAGCAGAAATAATGGTTGTAGGTAGCACATTGATTTTGCCTGAACTCATTTCAGTCAGGCCAACGTTTCTTACCCACCATTCCTCACTGCTGCTTGCAAATAAGTGAGAAACAGAATTCCAACAGAAAGCCAAAGGGAAAATGTTGGATTTATTAGGTGCATGTGAGAATGTGAGCAATGAATGATTAGTTGTCAAAGGTGGAGCCCAGGGTCACTGGAGCATCAGCTAATGTGACCCCTGTGTACTGAGCCTGCGTCAGGCTCTGGTGGGTCTAGTGGATGGTCTGCTTCTGAGTGACCAGCACCAGGTCTTGGTTTCCGTTAGGTCGCCTGGCATTTGCTGTTACCTGTCTGTTCCATGGTGTTCTTAGAGGTGGACTGACATTCGCCAGAATCATATCTCACTAACTTCTAGAGACATTTAATTTACTAACTCAAACCTCCCTCGTGAGGTCAAATAGTATTAAGTAAGGTTTTCATAGGGATTCTTAATGGAGTCCAGTGACATTTCATATGATTCGATAAGAAAAGAATAATGTTATATAGTTACTTGCATATTGTCTTCTAATCAGAGGTAAAGGAAGTTTTATTTTAAGAATGTCATACAACAAAAAGAAAGGGAGAAAGAAATCTAAACTTAGAAACAAATTTTAACTGTTTTTGTAAAGTATAACATATCTAGATGGCATAGAACAAATGATGTGTAACTCACACATGACTTTAAGATAAACACCCTTATAACCACCACACAGGTATAAACAGAGATTTACCAGTCAGCCACCCTCTTCACGATTAACCTCTTTTTAAAAAAATATGTTTTTATTGATCTTTACTTATTTAAAAAATATTTTTATTGATTTAAGAGAGGAAGGAAGAGGGAGAAAGAGATAGAAACATAAACGATGAGAGAGCATCATTAATTGGCTGTCCCCCTGCATGCCCCCCCACTGGGGATCGAGTCGCAACTCGGGCATGTGCCCTTGACCGGAATCAAACCTGGGACCCCTCAGTCCGCAGGCCGATGCTCTATCCACCGAGCCAAACTGGGTAGGGCTGTTTTTATTGATTTTTAGAGAGAGAGGGAGAGAGAAACATCAATTCATCCACATCGATCAGCTGCCTCCTGCATGCCCCCTGCTGGGGATCGAGCCCACAACTCACAGGATTGGTTACCTCCTGCACAAGCCCTGGCTGAAACAGGGATCAAACCTGAACCCAGGTACTTGCCCTTGACCAGGAATCGAATCCATGACCCTTCAGTGCAAGGGCTGATGCTCTAATCCAGCCGTGGGCAAACTACGGCCCGCGGGCCAGATACGGCCCGCTTGAAATGAATAAAACTATTGAAAAAAAAGACCGTACCCTTTTATGTAATGATGTTTACTTTGAATTTATATTAGTTCACACAAACACTCCATCCATGCTTTTGTTCCGGCCCTCCGGTCTAGTTTAAGAACCCATTGTGGCCCTCGAGTCAAAAAGTTTGCCCACCCCTGCCTAATCTCTGAGCGATACTGGCCAGCACTATTTTAGCTATATTTTCTTGAATTGGTGTTTAGTATGTATTTTGTTGCTTTGCTTTCGTTATGTGCATAGTGGATTTTCTTGGTTTGTCTTTTATAATTGTCCTTTTCCTCAAATCCTTTTTATCCCTTTCATTTCTTTGATTTTAAAAAAATTATTTTTAATTTTTCTCCAACGATTTGTTTAGCAAATTATTTTTTAAATTATTACTTATTTATTTATTTTCCTAATTGTATTAAATGTTGTTTTTTTCACTTTCGTTATTAATGCCTTTCTACCTTGTTATGAAATAATAGGTTATCATTTTCATCTGTTTTGTGGACGTGTCTTCTTGTGTGCTTTCGTTGTCTGTAGGGATGTGATTCTGCCCTTTCTTGTATAGTAACTTTTGTATGGTGTGAGCATGCTATTTTATTGTTTGTTTTTACATGAAATTAGTTTTCAGGAAAGTTCTTCCGAAGTCATGGCTCTAGAGCTCCCTCTGGTTTTCTGTTGGTGAAGTGCGGAAAAATGGCAGCTGATTGAATGAAACCTGGTTCTGCTCCCTCCAGTGCTTTTATCCGGACCGTGTTTTCCTTCCTCTTCCTCTTCCTCTTCCTCTTCCTCTTCCTCTTCCTCTTCCTCTTCCTCTTCCTCTTCCTCTTCCTCTTCCTCTTCCTCTTCCTCTTCTCTGTCTGTGGTACTCAGTTTGGGTTTTGATTTCTACGAATTTCTTAGTGTGAGACTTTGTCCTGAAAGACAGTTGTGGGTAGTGTGGACGAAAGTGTGCGAGCTCCTTCTGATTGCAGCTGCCCTTCTGAGCCTGGCCCTCTGAGCTTCCTAGTGAGTTCTTTTATTATTGACTTATTTATTGAGGATATTTCCCAGGGATGTTTTGAAAGAGTTGAAGGGATGGGGAGAGACAATGAGAGAAACATTGATGCGAGAGAGACACATTGATTGGTTGCCTGCTGCACACACCCTGACCAGGGCGGGGGTACAAGCCTGCAAGGTAGGTCTGTGCCCTTGACCACAATTGAACCCTGAACCCTTTAGTCCTCAGTCCAATGCTCTATCCTCTGAGTCAAACCAGGTAGGGCCCAGGTGAGTGCTTGTTGGTTCTTTTGGGAGTCTCAGGTTTGACACATGGTCCATATTGATAATATGCGTTCTGCCTGCGACAACCCTGCCCCTTCTATTTTCTGGCTCACGGGCTCACTTTGTCGTTACCTCGTGTGTCGTAGAAATCATCTTTGGGTTTTGGTTTTGTTATCCCTAGTTGCTCCAGTTTTTGGGTGGGGTTGGGATAGAGATTTAAGAAGATTCAAAAACTAGACTGCTACTGCCACCATCTTTTGAAAAATCTTCTAAAACACAGTTTTGTTCCTGACCTGAGGAGGCACGCCCCCTTTCCTCACGAGGGCTGAGGGTGGTGGCCAGCTGTGCAGATGCTCCTATCGAGTTGAGGATGTTCCCGGCTGTTTCTGATTTGCCGAGAGCCTTTATCTTGAATGGATGTTGACATACTTGTTCTGCATCTGCTAAAATGATTCCTGGTTTTCCTCTTTAGTTTGATACGGTAAATTATATTGATTGGTTTCTGAATGCTGAACTAAACTTGCATTCTTGAGATAACTCCCCCTAGTCATGATGTGTTCTTTTCATGTATTGCTGGATTATTTGCTAAACTTTTGTTAAGTAATTTTTAGTCCTATGTTCATGAGAAGTATTGGTCTGTCTTTTTCTTGTGATGTCATGTCTTCGTGTGGTTTGGTGTCAAGGTCATGCTGGGCCAGAATCAGTTGGAAAGTGCTCTGGAAGAGTTTGTGTAGAACTAGTATTATTATTTCTTAAACGTGTGATAGAATTCACAGTGAAATCATTTGGCCTGGAAATAGGGCTACTCAGAATATCTGTTTCTTACTGAGTGAACTTTGGTAGCTTGTGTCTCGTAAGCAATTTGTCTATTTTATCTAAGTTAAAAAATTTGCTGATATAGTTGTTCATATTACCCCTTTATCCTTTTTTATTTTTATTTTTTAAGAAGAAAGAAACATCAATCGGCTGCCTCCTACACGCCCCTGCTGGAGATTGAGCCTGAAACCCAGGCATGCGCCCCGATTGGAAATCAGCCGGTAACCCTTTTGTGCACCAGGCGACACCCATCCAACGGAACCACACCAGCCAGGGCCTTTATTCTTTCACTGTCTGAAAGATGTGCAGTGATGGCCCCTCTCCACTTCCTCTCACTGGTAATTGATATCGTGGCTGTGTTTTGTTGATGAGCCTGGAGGTGTATTTTATTTCATTTTTAATCTCAAGACAATGATTTACTCTATTATTTTTCTGTTTGGGATCTGCTTTTACTTTTATTATTCCTATTTTCTTTTCATCTTGGATTTAGTTTACTCTTTCTAGTTTCATAAGGTAGAAACCTAGATTATTCAAAAAAACCATTTTTAAAAATAAATGTTTAATATTGTAACTTTCCTTCTGAACTTTGCTTTATTGCATCCTACCTATTTTGCTACCTTTTTGTTAATTGATTTCAACTTAATTGTATTAATGTTGGGGAATACGGTCTTTATGAAATTGTCTTTGAGTTTTTGAGACTGACTTCATGGTGTAGTATGGAAGATGAACATCTCAGAACTGTTATTATTGATTTACTTTTGGTAAGACATATTAAATCTTTGCACTTTGTATTTCTTTATTTCAGGTCTTGGTATGGTAACTCCTGTGAACGACCTTAGAGGATCTGATTCTATTGCCTATGACAAAGGGGAGAAGTTACTGCGGTGTAAGCTGGCGGCATTTTACAGACTGGCCGATCTCTTCGGGTGGTCTCAGCTGATCTACAATCATATCACCGTGAGTCCTGGGGGAGGTAGTCACTGGCTGGTGAATGACTGGCTGGGTCTGCTCCCACCTCTTCTGTGTGGGAGGAGGGGGAGCCACTGAGCTGAAGTCAAGCTTGGAAGAGCTTCCTCTGGTCCTGACGGCAGAGCCAGTGATCTGAGGACTCGCCAGTTTGAATGAAAATGATGAGAACAGTGATTCTTTAGAACTCCTCTCTTGCGTGCTGACTTCATAAATGAGTGTTTGCCAAATGCAGGCAGTTTTAAAAACCTTTTTATGCTTAAAAACCTAAGACTGGAGCTATTTTCTTCCCATCTCTTATTTTACTTCTTTAGCTACTCTAGTTTTAGCCATTTTTCGACATTATCAGGACCTTTGTTTTCTTCCCTTCATCCTGACAGTCACTATTTACTGGGCGTCTGCTGTAAGCATTTATTGTTCTGTACGAAGCGTTGTTCTCACTTTGGGTTCCATCACTGAATGAAACAAGCCCTGCCTCTGTGGGTCTTCCCTTCTACAGCCAGTCCGTCTGCCCGTATTTGCTCCCTGTGCTGTCGAGCAGGGGTTCAGGGTCCATCGTTTCAGGAGCCCTTTGTCAACACCGTCCTCTCCCTCCCTGGACCTGAGCAGCCAGGTCTGCCTGCAGAGAGCTTCACAGCAGAGCCCCTAGCCATCTCCATACGTTTGCTACCAGGGGACCCCCCACTGCCTGGCAGCTGTAGGCAGCCATCTCTCATAAGCTCACTTACCTTTCCTGTGCTTTCCTCTCTGAAATTCCTGACCTCCTTCACCCAGCAGGTGACCCTGTGGTGTCACAGAGAAGATGGGAACTCCTTGCTGAACCCACTCTCTACTCCTGACCCCCGCTTCAGTGTCCCTGTCTCTGCCCAGACACGACCTCCTGCCTTGGAATTGCATTCCCTTCTTGCTGCGTTCGCTTCCCAGTGCACTGTCGGGGGTTGGTTTGTTGTTTTTCTCTTCTGTGGAGGTAGCTCTTTGAATTGTTTCCTTCCTTTGATTTTTAAACTTGTTCCAATCTCGTTTTTTCATTTTTTTTATTGGATATTTTAAATTACTAATACAGTTCCTGCTTATAGTAACAAGTGTTCCTTACACAGATGTCTAAAGAAGAGTTGTAACTGCCACTACTCTTCTCTCCTCTGAGACAACAGTGTTAGCAGCCATTTAGATTGTTTTGCCCTTTTTTCCTACTCAACACACACACACACACACACACACACACATACACACATACACGCACGGGGATATTTTTTACATGTGGACTTGACCTGTGGTGTTTAGTTCAGCTCCAATCTGGACTTAAGGAACACTGAATCTTGGAGGTGGTGGTCTGGAGCCCACCTTTGTCACCAGTGCACTGTGCTTCGGGGATGGGTTATGGGTCTTTGCCAGAGATACCAATTACCCTCCCGTCCATTCTCCATGTGGCCCTAAAGTGAAGTTTCCAAATGCAAACCTGACCCTGTCGTGTCCACACTGACATGTTTGTAGAATGTCACCCCTCCCAACTCGTCCTCTTCGTTTCTCCCCGTAGCAGTGACCTCAGCCATACTTTACATTTGTGTCCATCGTCCACACCTGCCCTCGTCTGTATGAGCCCCTTGAAGGGAGTCCCTGTGTGTCTTGTGCTGTGTGTGCCCAGGGGCAGGAATTGTGCTGGGCACTGAATAGACGCACACGTGCTCTCGGATGAACGACTGCGTGAAACCCCCAGCTGAGCTGAAAGTCTATCCCAGTCAGGCTGTCCCACAGAACTCCACGGGCCTTTTGATGGTTGGTCAGTGGGTCCAGTTAGCCCTCCACAGCTGCCAGCTCTGTTCTTGTATCTGCGTGACAGTGGCTGGCATCGTGTAGAGATGTAATGTGAAGTGGTACAGCTGTAACAGGAAATGTAATCCTTAGCTTTAATAACATCCTCTCATTCTTTGGAAGTTTAAAAATGTTTATCACTAGTCCTGTTATGAATGCTACGTAAAGAAGGTTGAATTGCTTCAGTTGCTTGTGTCTCCCCTCCCCCCTTAATTATTTGGGACTTTGGGACTAAATACTGAGTAAAAATTAAATTGAAGTTACCAGAACATTTCCTTTATCTTGTGAACTAGAGAATCTTTGAGGAGGAAAGTTTGTGTTTTTAAATTATTTATGGCATCCTTTTTTGTTACAATCTAGGTGTTCTCATATAGACACTTAACAGAAAAGAACTATTAGCAGTATTTATCAGTGTAATCAAAGGTGCTAACAGGTCATTGTGCCCTTTCTTTCAACAAGTACCATGGGATTTTCTGCTAAAGAGACTGAGAAATGCTAACAGGTGTTAGAGGGTTAGAGACACTTGTCTGAATTAGATCTGTTTTAAGATCGCATGGGATTTAAAGAAGCGTTGGTGTCAAGAGACAGGGTGGCCCAATTGGCATATGGGCTGGGTTTCCTCTCTTGGTGGCAGTTGGCTGATGCAGGGTTTTTCCATCCCTTAATTCATCTTGGCTCAGCTCCAAGATGGTGTGGAGCCCACCTTTGTGACCAGTGCACTGTGTTTCTGGGGTGGGATGCCCGTCTTTGCCAGAGATCCTGATTTCCAGTGCGTGACCTGAAGATGTGTGACCTTAGAGTCTGTTCCTTGTACACAGAAGGGGCATTCGTCATGTGGGAGGACATGTAGGACAGCCGGCACTTGTCCCCCGGGGACCAGAAAAGTGACTGAAATGTTCTTTTCCCCTTGTTACTCTACATCTATATTTAGCACTTTCTCTTTGCTTCAGACTCAGAAAATGGTATATTGTAAGGTTTTCCCACTAAAATATGTAGCTCTGTTAAGCACACTCCTAGAAATAATGTTAAGGAGCTAAGTGAAAGAAGAAAACAGGATGCACAAATATATTTAGTGTAGCCTTGTCTGTAACAATATATATATAGTTCTAATTTTAACTTATTTTTCTCTTTTTTATTTTAATCCTCATTCGAGGATATTTTTCCATTGACTTTTAGAGAGAGTAGAAAAGAGAGGGAAAGACAGAGAGAAACATCGATGTGAGAGAAACACATTGATTTGTTGCCTCCTGCACGCGCCCCGATCAGGGCCTTAGGCCGGCGAGGAGCCTGCAACCGAGGTATGTGGTCTTGACCAGAATCAAACCTGGGACCTTTCAGTTTACAGGCCGATGCTCTATCCACTGAGCCAAGCCAGGTAGGGCAATGATGAGACATTTTTAGAGCCAAACAGTAGGTGGGAAATGGCTCAGTCATCCAACATCAATCTGAGGGAATGTTGTTCACCAACAGGGGCTCTGAGCGTGCTCAGGCAGCAAGGCAGCGCTCTCCTGCGTGTGGTTTTGTGATTGTTTGTTGTCCTGCAGGTTTTGCGTTCTAAAGACAAATCTGTTTGACTTTTAGAAAGTGAGCTTTCGTTTTCATTATCATTACCTGAGGCGTGACCGCCTTTGTGCATGCCATTGGTCAATTACCATGAATGTGACCAAGCTGCACTTCATGTATGTGACACATGACTGCAGTAACAGCTCTATATTGTATAGATGTTTGACAAGCCTGTGAGTTTGTGGCCTCAAAGAGATACAAATAATTTCAGTTGAATTTTGCTCTAACTCTGTCATGTCCCCACAGACCAGAGTGAGCTCCGAGCAGGAACACTTCCTCATTGTACCTTTTGGGCTTCTCTACAGTGAAGTGACTGCATCCAGTTTGGTAAGAATGGCCTTTCTCTCTTGGGCGTCATGACTGTGTAGATCACGTTACTTAATTAAACCCCTTCTAATCCTGTTAGACATAGAAAACCCAAGGAAGAAGAGAAACTAGTGTTTTGCGTGATTAACTCAAAGAAAAACCTTTAAAAGTAGTTACAAACACTAACATTTGGTTTAAATAATTTTTAGTTAGGGTAATTGGAAGTCCTTTTGACATTGATAATTTTTGTTTCCTCATTTTCAGGTGAAAATCAATCTGCAAGGAGATGTGGTAGACCGTGGAAGCACTAACCTAGGAGTCAATCAAGCTGGCTTCACGCTGCACTCTGCGATCTATGCTGCGCGGCCGGACGTGAAGTGTGTGGTCCATATTCACACGCCGGCAGGGGCCGCGGTGAGTGGCCTCGTGCTCCCCCTGCAGTTTGTAGTTGTTTAGTGAGAGGCTGTGCACATTTCCCTGGAAGTGCCTCTTGTTGCAAATAAGTCCTTAGACCTAACTTAGTTGGATTAAAATATTTTATTACTCACTAAGTTTGACTTTCTTAAAATACTGTTTTTCTTTTAAGGGGTCTGAAATGCCCATTAGACTCCATATTAGAAAGTTAGAGCGTGTTGACAGTGGAGGTCAGATTTTAGTAGGGAAGTGCAGAAGGACAGCAGTAAACTTACAGAGCCTTTGAGAAGAGGGAAGGCAGGATGGGTGGCAAGCAAGGGTGCTGTGGGCTCAGGAAAGGGTTAGTGGGACTCGAGGGCCTGGAGGGTGCTGATGGGCTGTCGGGGAGGAGTCCCCGGAACCCAGGCTGCATCATGACTGGGGAAGTCAGAAGAAGGCAGGCATTTGGGGCAGGAAGGCACAGTAGTGCCGGCTGTGGAGAGCAGGCCTCCAAGCCCACAGCCCCCCAGAGGCCTGCCCAGCCCCTCACCCAGCTGCATCCTGCTGTGTGCACGGGTGACCCTGACAAAGCCCAGACCTCTCAGATTGAAAATGAGCATTCTAGTTGCAGGGACAGTCATGTGAGAACGAAACACTGTCTAGAATTGGCTTTTTATCACCAGTCTCATACTTTAGTGACTTCATGGGCCTGTTTGTACAATAGATGATCTAATTGATTCAGTAATGCTGAATTTTAATATCTTTTTTAAATTTATTTTTTATTTTTGTTCATCCTCACCTGAGGATATTTTTCCATTGATTTTTAGAGAGAGTGGAAGGGAGGGGGAGAGACGCAGAGAGAGAAACATCGATTTCCTGCACGCCCCTTCTTCCCCCCTCCTTCCCCTCGGTGCAGGAGGATCCAGCCTGCAACCGAGGTACATGCCCTTGACCAGAATCGAACCTGGGACCCTTCAGTCCGAGGGCTGATGCTGAGCCAAGCTGGCTAGGGCTTGATTTATATATATATATATATTTTATTGATTTTTTACAGAGAGGAAGGGAGAGGGATAGAGAGTTAGAAACATCGATGAGAGAGAAACATTGATCAGCTGCCTCCTGCACACCCCCTACTGGGGATGTGCCTGCAACCAAGGTACATGCCCTTGACTGGAATTGAACTTGGGACCCTTCAGTCCTCAGGCCGACACTCTATCCACTGAGCCAAACCGGTTAGGGCTAGGGCTTGATTTTTAATCTCTTGATGTTTTCATGTCATGCATGTTGGTTTGTTTAGGTGAGTGAGTGACCTGGTTTATTTTACTTTGAATATGTGGTTCTTGATGTCAACATCAGTTTTATTAAGTATCACATTCTCTGAAGGATGTGATTTTTTTCTTAAAACCCAAGAACCATTGGAGAGGTATCTTTGAGAATATGGCTATAAGCAGCTAGCATGTAATTTGTTTCAAAAACTATCAAAAGTTTACTTTGTAAGGAAATTCCTTCTTGTAGGTAAGGAAATTTCTTAAAGCTGATACTGTGAAAGGAATTAAATATTATATTTCCTTTTTTGTGGTATTGTCTTTTTATATATTTTTATTGATTTCAGAGAGGAAGGGAGAGGGAGAGATAGAAACATCAATGATGAGAGAGAATCATTGATCAGCTGCCTCCTGCACGCCCCCTGCTGGGCATTGAGCCCACAACCCAGCCATGTGCTAACCAGGAATTGAACAACCACCTCCTGATTCATAGGTTGATGCTCAACCACTGAGCAACACCTGCAGGGCAACCCTGCGGGGTTTAGATGTTGTTGTTTTTTACCTGAATAAATGTAAAGAAATTGTACAGTATAATTATTCTCAACTTTTACAAATTTGCTTTGATCTGATTTTCAGGTGTTTTGGTCCCACCTGCAGCCTAACCTGTGCACACAGCCGTAGAGCACTTGCCATGCTCTCTGGTGCATTCAGAGGAGGCCGTTGCCTGTCCTCACAGATCCGGGGCTCACTTGTCATCCAGTCTGAGCTCACAGAGCATTTAGCGTCAGTGTGGAGAAATCCAGAAAGATGTGGGCTTCCTCTGGGCTCTCCCAGCTTAGTGAGAGTCTGCATTTCTAACTGCATTGCACTAAGCCCCAGAGTAATTTTTTTTAAGCTCATGGGTTCATTTATTTCTGAGAAGAGAACAAAGTTAACTCTGTTCCACTTTTGTATTTCTTCGAGGAAAGACTTACCCTGTCCTCAGTCAGCGAGGGCTTTCGCTCAGTGTGACTGCTTGTTCTCCAGGTCTCTGCGATGAAATGTGGGCTCTTGCCCATCTCCCCGGAGGCACTTTCCCTTGGAGAGGTGGCTTATCATGATTACCATGGGATTTTGGTTGATGAAGAGGAAAAGGTTTTAATCCAGAAAAATTTGGGTCCTAAAAGCAAGGTTCGTAGGCATGTAACCTGGCATTTAAATTATGGAGGGAGGAGGAGGAGGGAGAAAGCATCAGTGTCTTTAGCTCACGGAGCTCTCGTGTTCCCCTCAGGTCCTCATCCTCCGGAACCACGGGCTGGTGTCCGTCGGAGAGAGCGTCGAGGAGGCCTTCTACTACATCCACAACCTCGTGGCTGCGTGTGAGATCCAGGTCGGTGCTGCGTGCCGCCTGCGGGGGTCTCGGGTTTGCAGGTCCCAGAGCCTCTGATGCTGGTTGGCAGGGGGAGTCTTGGAGCAGTCTCGGCCAACTCTGAGCTCGCGGATTTAGAAATCGAACAGGGCAGATGCCCTTTCACTGATTTAGTTTGGCAAATGGTAGTTTTTATTTATGGAGTACTGTGGATACAGGGTGTGCCAACCCCTGTATCAGGTGCGTTACATATGTTATGACATGGGGTTCATTTGACCCTCGTGGCATTCCTTCTGAAAACACAGGTGCAGAGAGCTAGAAACTTGCCATAGTCTCAGGGCCGTCAGTGCCACTTAAGCCACTTGGTGGCAAGTGCTGCCCAGCCCCAAGTTTGTTCTCCTGACCTGGGTCTGTGCAGCCATGCCTTCCTCCCCATTCTGCTTCTTATGCTCTTGAGAAGTATTTTACATTTCTCCTCCAAGTAGGTGGGCCCAGTATTTTTGTTAGGCTAAAGAAAAACTTCTGAAAATAACCTTATTTTTAAAAATTTATTACGGGTTTATGTATTCATTTAAAATAGTGATTGATTGATTGAGAGAGAGAGAGAGAGAGATGGACTTGTTGTTCCACTTATTTATGTATTCGTTGGCTGATTGTTGTATGTGCCCTGACTGGGAATAGAACCCACCACCTTGGTGTATCGAGGTGATGCTCTAACCTACTGAGCTACCTGGCCAGGGCTGAACATAACCTTGTGATTAGTCTATCACTGTCCATTCTACATTTCTCATTCTTACACTTAGGGGTTTTGACATCTCTGTGTACGTGATTTCCCACAGTCACCTGTGCTCTCAGTAAGGAGCTCAGACTGTAATGTTTGCTTGTTTTGAAAAGGTTCGAACTCTGGCCAGTGCAGGAGGGCCAGACAACTTAGTCCTCCTGGATCCAGGGAAGTACAAAGCCAAATCCCGTTCCCCGGGGGCCCCGGCAGGGGAGAGCACCGCCTCGCCTCCCAAGTGGCTGATCGGTGAGCAGGAGTTTGAAGCCCTCATGCGGATGCTCGATAACCTGGTAAGGACGTGGCTACCACTGCGTGATAATGGTGTCCTTCTAAAGCTCAGGTGTGTGGGTGATTGGGCACCAGTGAGGTAGTGTTGTGGAGTTGCTGTCCTCAAGCAGCATCTGAGCACTTGCTCCTGAAGAATCACCCAGCAGCACTTCTAAGCTAAATCGCCATAAAGTAGAGTGAGAACTTCTTTGTTTTTTAAAGATAATCTTGTTGGGGCCCCGTGGGGACAGAAGCACGGACACGCCCTGCTCTACTGCAGGCCGCTGGGTAGCCAGCTCTGGGCGGAGGGTGGCTCAGCGCCTTCCTCCCACACACACGCTCTGCAGGGGCTTTGAAAGCAGTCGGCAAGGATTTTTGTTGTTGGTGTTAATGGGAAGTTCTAGGTGTTTGGAGGCCAATTGCTGTTCCACAGACATTTGCTGCTGACTCACTGCAGGGGCCTGAGCCCAGATGCAATGGGGCGGGGAGGGGGTGCTCTGGCGTGATAGGGGTTCTGCGTGGACATGGCAGGATGTGGCCCACTAGTATGTGGGGTTTCAGTGAGGGCCTTCATCCTTTTTCACAGATCAGGGAGAACACTTTAGGTAGAAGGTGGCACTTGGAAATGACCTCATAGGACAGGTAGAAACGCGACAGGCTGAGCTGGGTGAAGGTGGGCATCACAGCAGAGGCTGCAGCAGCACTGAAGAGAGCAGTGGGGATGGGAACGTGCCTCCAGGTCCGCCTCTGCCTTTGATATGGTCTTTAATTACTCAGAACAAGTCTGTAGGGTTGGAGCCACCACATTGTAAGGCAGATGGCTCTGTGAGGGGGCCCTTTCATGCTGCGCTGTCACCTCTCAGATGCCCTTCCTACTGGTAGGCGTGAGGACCTGTCCTGCCGTGTGGGGCAAGGGACGCTGAGAAGGGCTGCAGTCCTTGTGTGGGCGTGTCCCAGCCCCACTGGGACACCGTCCAGCCTCACTTAAGACGGTCCGACCTTTGGAAGAGGCCGCACATGGGACGGGTGGCTGCAAGAGGGTTACCTTTCCTGAAGATTTTGGAAAACAAAGAATTCATGGATCTGATTCAGGGTGTGCCCAGGGGCTGTGTCCACAAGAGTGGGTTTGGTCAGTGAGGGAGCAGTGGGCAGAGTCTTCCTTCTGAATTCAGTGCTTGGTGAAGATGGTTTGCACTAACTGACCATCTACTCTTGAGCCTGTAGCCATGAACAGGACATGGCTCTTGCCCTAGTCAGGGAGGTGCAGCCCAGCACTGCGCTCTGCGCCCTGGCAGCACGCCGAGAGCTGCAGGCAGAGACTCATGGGCCAGGGTTGGTCAGGGAAGCAGGACGGAACCGCTCACGGAGGAGATGGAAGGACGTTGGGTCGGGCGGCAGACCAGGGGTGTGCAGCCTCAGGAAAGGCAGCTGGAGAGGGCTTGAGCGCGGGGCAGCGGTGGCCCAGGTGGCAGCACTGGAGTCAGACACCCCCCGGGGCTGAGGTGGCCCAGTCCTATAGCCCTTCTCTCCTCCTGGCAAACACTTGGACGTTTCACTCGCTTGTGCCTAAAAGTAAGTGGAGAACAGGAGAGAGGACAAGAATGAAGAACAGCAGCCGCCCACCTTGTGCACTCAGTTCATTCTGGAAGATGGAGAAGAAGATCTAACTCGAGCAGTAACTCTGATGTGATAGGGGAGGAAGGTAGAGGATGAGGGCTGAGCTGTGGACTGCTCAGCACGCAAGGCTTTCAGTGCCCTCTTCTGGGCGCCTCTGTGACTGTTCCTGACGGTAGCAGGCCCCGCGCTTTGTAAGAAATAAAGTGGACAGCGACCACTGCTCACAGTCCGGGATTCAGTTAGCATCCTCATCAGTCCTATGTTTGCTAGTCATTGAGTAGGTTAGAGAGCAGCTAGAGAGCCTCACACTGTGGGAGTTCATTTCAGCACACCCAGAAGAAATGCTGAATCCCACAAAAGCAAGACACAGTGCCAGTTTCTCAAGGAAGAAAGGAATCCTTTTTTTTTTTTTCTTAAATGTTTTTATTGACTTTAGGGAGAGAGGTAGAAACATCAATGAGGGAGAAGCATCATCGATCAGCTGCTTCTGCACGCCCCCAACTAGGGATCGAGCCCACAACCCAGGCATGTGTCCTGACTGGGAATCGAACTGGTGACCTCCTGGTGCGTGGGTCGATGCTCAGTCACTGAGCCACACCAGCCAGCCAGGAATCCATATTTTTAACTAAGCCATATAATAGGCCTGAGGTCTGTGTATTGCCTCTAATTTTGGTTTCACGGCATTTAAAGGGAAGAATAAAGACCAAACCCACACGCTGGGAGGGTAGAATTGTGTGGAGGCCTGGTGGTTTATCCTGAGGCCTGGAGATTCCTCCGTCCTGGCCGCCCGGGCAAGGGGACGGGTGAATGACTAAGCACGGTGTTTTCCGAAGACAGTCTTCCCTGCTGAGTCATCTCATGGCCTCAGCCCAGTGTGAGCCTCTTTGAGCGGGAAATGGCAGCATCGCCTCTTCCCAGGGACTGATGAGGAGGCAGCAGCAGCGCAGGGACGACTGCCGTCCTTTTCTTAACGTGTTAAAGGATGGTTGGTCATGAAGGTGGCCCCGCACAGGGAAGCAGCACCCACAGGTGGGGAATCCCTGGACTGAGGAAGTCTATGTTTCTGGCGTATGGGCCCGCGGCGCCGGCCCGCCCCGTGACCCCTCTGCACTCCTTGCAGCCCCAACGTCTGGCTCCCCGTGAAGCAGCCGGGAAGGACTTGGTCCGGATGCGAGGCTGTGGGTCCACAGTGCAGGGGCAGCTGAGCTCACAGGCTGCCAGCAGTCAGGGGGGCAGCTGGGCCGGTTCTTGGCAGGCTCAGCGGGGGAGGCCCCACTGCCAGGCTCTCAGGTGGTGGTCAGAGTCCATTTTCTTCATCTGTAGTGGCCATGGCAGCTTGCTTCCTCAGACCGTAATGCACAGAGAGAGACTTAGGCTGGGCACCACACTCATCTAACGCATCCTGTCACTTGGCCAGTTCCACTGGTGAGGAGCCAGTCACAGGGCCGTCCACAGTCCAGCAGGAGGGCACTTCAGGAGGCGGGGCCATGCGCATCACGAAGCTACGCACAGACAGGAGGGCTGATACCCACCCTTGCCTTGGGGATGCTGCCTGTGGGGCCAGCAAATAGGCTGGTCCTGCACGGGGGTGGGGTGGGGGGGCGGGGGGGCAGAGCAGATTGAATGGCTACGAGGCAGAGTCAGGGTTGAACTGAATGTGAAGTTAGTGTCAGTGGGACAGTCATCTTGTCAGACCAGTTGCCACGAGGCGTGCTTGTTTGGTCCCCCCGGAGTTTATCGTGGCGTCTAAACCGTGACCTCAGCGTTCGGTAGGCTGATGAGTAAAGTCTATATTGTCGCCAACAGCAAGTAAGCCAGGTTTTTAAAATTTTTAAACTTATTGAAATACAGTAAACAGGAGAGTGTACCTATTTAAATATTCAGTTTATTAGTTTAAAAAACTGGTGGAATCAACACCCAATCAGAAACCAGCACCAGCACCTCAGAAGGCCTGTCCCCTCTGAGAGTCACTTACTCCGCCCAAGGGTGACACCATCCAGCCTCGTGATGGGATCAGGCAGCGCCCCCTTTCCCGTTGGTGTCTCCCTCGGCACCATCCTCAGGTTCACTGGGGCAGAGAGCTCTTCTCGTGCCGCTTCCCGTTCCATGGTGAGCACGCCTCACGCCCCTGCCGACGGACTTCTGGTTGGTTCCAGTGGGGGCTGTTAGCAGTGGGGCTGCTGCTGGCTTGCAGGGCCTTTGTTTTGGTGAACGTCTTCGCCTTTAGGTTGGGCTTGTACTTGGGGTGCAGTCGTTGAGTTGGAGGTGCCTGCGTGCAGCCTCTGAGGGATCCCACACAGTGTTCCCCGAGGAGCTCTGTGTTGAGAAGTGGACTAGTGACTGTCTTTCACTCTCTTGGTCTCTAGGGCTACAGAACTGGCTACCCTTACCGATACCCGGCTCTGAGAGAGAAGTCTAAGAAATACAGCGACGTGGAGGCTCCTGCTAGTGTCACAGGCTACTCCTTTGCTAGTGACGGTGATTCGGGCACTTGCTCTCCTCTCAGACACAGTTTTCAGAAGCAGCAACGAGAGAAGACAAGATGGCTGAACTCTGGCCGGGGTGACGATGCCTCTGAGGAAGGGCAGAATGGAAGCAGCCCCAAGTCGAAGACTAAGGTGTGGACGAACATTACACACGATCACGTGAAACCCTTGCTGCAGTCTCTCTCGTCCGGTGTCTGCGTGCCAAGCTGTATTACCAACTGCTTGGTCTGTGCCTACCTTACTGTTCCTAGTTAGATGATGTAGAGCAAGTGGGGCAGCTGGGGCTTCGGAGGCTTTGGGAACCAGCCCTGCACCCTGACTGAAGGCGAGCCTTCCCTTTCACCCTCTGTCCTGAACCAGTGCTACTGTCTGCTCGAAACTGCTTAAGATACTGACCCCCCAGCGACTGCCTCTTTACCTAGTGCGTCCGTAGCCAAAGGTCCGACTAACGTGTGTATTAACCTAAACCCAGGAGCTGCCGGCGAACTCACTCTGTCCTCAAGGAATCTTACTACCTCACGCACCAAAAGGCAGTTCAGTCATAGCCTGTTGTTCAGTGTTGTGAATGCCGGTGGTTTCAGTAAGTCACTAACTGTTCTTTAACGTCTCGAGTGTTTTCTTAAGCAGTTTCTCCTCTGGGTCCCGGCCTGCTCTCGGCTGGCCAGGTCCTCCTCGTTAGCCTCCCCTGCTCTGTCCCAAAGCCTCCGAACGCTCTCAGCAGCTGCCTCCTGCATGGACTGTGCATGTGAGTAGACCGCCATCGCGGAGTCTTCTGACTCCTGCCGGGGGCGGCATGACCCCAGTGCAGCGCAGGCCACCGCGGCACCAGCGAGAGGGTTGCCGCCAACGTGCTTCACGCCCGTGTTCGCCAGCCCTGAGCCGCCC